ACTGATTACGTTCTTGTCAATTTCAAAATAAATACCAATAGCAATCAATCATAGACTCACCCAATTATAATACCTAATTTTTTCCATCTGTTTCATTTTCTCCTCAACGGAAGACATTATTTTCTCCTCAACAGAAGAAATTTCATTTCGTATTGAAGATATTTTGTTTTCCAAGTCGGAAGAAATCTAGGTTTTTAAAGAAGATATGTCAGAAGACACCTTTCCTTCTAAGGTATAATCTTTATTGTCTAAGGAAGAAATTTTAGTTTCCATGGAAGAAAATTTACTATCTAATGAAGTAATATCACTTTTTATAGAGGACATTTTACGTTCCATATCGGAAGAAATTATAGCAGATACATCATCCGAAAATAGAAACGCTTCCGGATCTAAACCTTCATTTTCTTCTAGTGCTTTTTTAAGTAGTTCTGTCAGCTCTGATTTCTTCCCTGTCGTCTCCAGTTCACGTTCTTCTAACTCTCGACATAATTCAGACACTTTGAAATCAAACAGTGTTTTAGCCATTATTGTCCACTATTTATTTACAATCCCACTTCTGACACCAATGTGACGTTTATTTAATTTATTTATAGTTTATTTAAAACACACTACTTTTAATTTATTTATGACATACTAATTAATTTATAAAATACTTAGGCACTAACTCACAATTCTAATTTATTTATTACAATTTACCTCTTGAGTCCAATACTTTATTTGAAATTACACGTCCGTCGACGAAGTTGCGCTATTTATACAAAGCCCACTTAATACTCGTAGTTTCTAGACGCTTTCGAATGTTACCCGAAAATTCCATCTCTATGACTCAACGGCCACGTATTGCTTTTTCTTGTAGATTCGAGAAGCGGTGTGTTTTTCTTTATACGTCATCTAGTCCTTTTAAAATAACGGTAAAAGGTCAAGAAACGCCGCACTTGACTAGACCACTTGTCCCCTACGTATTTTGGGGCGCTCATTACGAAAATGAGGGTTAAAACTAGCAGCAATTGTTGTAACACCTCTAAAATTCCAAAAAACACCCCTAATTAGGGGTGTTTTTTGACTGTACTTGTTATTTTGCAGACTAAGCCATCTTATATATTTTTTGGGGCGCTGATTACGTAAATCATGGTTAAAACTTGCAGCAATAGTTGAACGACCCCTAAAATTGCAAAAAAAAAACACCCCTAAAATTGCAGAACACCCCTAAAATTGCAAAAAAACGCCCCTATATAGGAGTGTTTTTAGGGTTGGTTCAACCATTGCTGCAAGTTTTAACCCCGATTTTTGTAATCAGCGCCCCAACAACCATATAAGATGACTTAGTTTGCAAAACAACAAGTACAGTCGAAAATTTTTTGCAATTTTAAGGGTGTTCCAACCTGTAACGATCCAGTTTTTATATAAAGACAAATACTTTTTGATGGCCTCTTGTATGTGTAATTTTAGTCTACGCCTATTTTTTTATCCAAATAAGAGTGTTTATTTACTACAATCTTAATTTTTTTTGTATCCCTGTGTTCTTTTACAGTGGGTTCGTGTCACTTTTAGTCCATTAAGTTGAACGTTATTATTAATTTTATTTTTTTAGAATCATGTGTATCTCGACCGGTATTTACGAATTCTAGTTCTGGTAATTTTGGTTTGTGAGCACGGGTAATTTGTTGATTGGTCAGAACGACTTTTTGAGGTCAGGTGACGACTAGATTGAGAGGTAATTGGTCGCTAACGTTCGGTCTACGGCGATGTCTCTTGATAAACTTCGAGGATGAAGCCGGCGTGGTTTCAAAAAGAACGTTTGTTGGGTATAGCTAAGTTGGACAATTTTGCTATTGGCTGTTGGGCATCCTTGGAATTACAGAAGATTTTTGTGGTTTGTGAGCCATCTCCGTCTGGGAGAATTAGTCCCCGTTTTCTCCATTACTATGAAGGCATTTGGTTTGGTGCCTGTGATTTGTGGAATATTAGTGGTTGAGTTTTGTCGGCCGCCATTACCTCGCAGCAACCTCTTGTTGGATTTTAGAATTGGATAGCTGGCCCCTTTGGAAAACACCTTGGCCGTAACAGCCGTTCACGCTTATGCTCGTTAGGAACCTAAGTTGGTTTGGATTTGGACCCTTTTCTGATTAAGACCCCATTTGCATATATTTCTTGGAGGGGGTATAGAAAACCCTATTTGCATACGTTTCTTGGAGGGGGTAAAGAAAACCCCATTTGGATAGTATTGAAGTTGGAACAGTTGGTGCATATGGAGATTTGGATCACCTGAAGCCCGTATCAGCTAGTGTGTTAGTACTGTTCTACGAGATCGTTGACTGCAGCTGCGAAGAAGCCATGATTTGTTTAGCTAAGTCCGCCCTGTTTATTTAAGTGATTTTTTTGTATAATTGCACACCGATTTTCTTTATATATATATATATATATATATAGGTATTTCTTCTTTATTTGGGAAAAGTAGCGCACACATTATTAATTTAATTTCAGGGATTTTGTTAAATTGGGGTAGATTTACTGTGTAAATGGGGGTATACTGAAGGCCTACTTGGCATACTTTTATATATAACATATATGTAAGGCGGAAATGAAGGTTACTCTTATTTTTATTTCTCTAACGTCGATTAATCTGGAAGAAGGTATAACGGCTTGGCGCTCAATTATTTCGATCATTTTTAAACTCACTCCCATCTCCACTACAGAGTGAAGCTGCAGGCAGAAAGGTGGAGATCGACAACCCGGTACACTATAACCCCGGTTTTTGAGGTTATAAACCATTGCTGCCAGTTTTAACCCTCATTTTTATAATCAGCGCCCCAAAATACGTAGGGGACAAGTGGTCTCGTCAATTGCGGCGTTTTTTGACATTTGACTGTTATTTTAAATGGACTAATCGGTGTTTCGATAATAGCTTCGTTCGCGGTAACAATCCTGAACTGACTCAGAATTACTAATTCATACTTTGAGCGCATGCCCGAATCATTATCAATTCTGAATTTTTACCGCGCGCAATCCCTATTATATCTCGGTGTTTCAGGTATAGACAAGCGGTTCAAAACCAATAATAATTTTACCGCGAACGCAGGATAGAACCAATAGTTCAGTTCTTTTTGTTCCACGAACACTTTTTAACTACTGCGTCTGCGAAATCGTTACTGTTAGTAATAATTCGGTCCAGGCTTCTTACCGCGAATAAAGCTTGAATCGGGTGGCAGGCTTAAAGGTTGGTCTCTACAGGCTTAAACATGGAAATACTCAGACAAATATGCATTTACAAAATTTAAATAAATATTTATAAAACAAACTTATCAAAATTATTTTCTGTAACAAAATCAGCATGTATAGTGCTTAAGACCTTTATAAAAATTTTGCGAGCTGGGGTGGCAAATAAGTTTGAAAAAATTAAAGTTGAAGCATCATCCTTTTAGTGTCTTACTATCAAGGCGAATTTGAGTGTGGATAAAATTTTCTATACGCTTATTGAGTCGACTAGTTATGTTGAAGAGCATTTCTTCATCCGATAATTGTTTTATTGATTTATTTGTACAGCACTTGTAGTTATCAAATTCTTATTCGTCATCTGGGCACTGTGATAAATGAATTAACCTTTCGAGCTTAAATTAAACTTACACACGTTTGGACCCTTGAAGATTTTGGTGTAGGTTTTCTTGTTTGATGTCAATGGCATTGAATCAATTTTTAATATTGATGGCTGAGGCTCACATATTTCATCGATCTATAGGGTATTTTGGATTTTGGAGGGCCAAGATTTATTTTAACAGTGAATCAAAAAGAAGTTTGTAAATATTACTTACCATTGATGCCAAACAGTGCAAGATGCATTTTTCTTAAGACACTTATTACAAATTGTTTAGCTATCCTTAATATGACAACCACTTATTTAATATGTGGTATAAATTGGATCACTACCAATATCTGGGAGTGCTTTATTGTTCGATACAAAGAAAAACACGAGATTTTAAACTTAAGCATTATTCTGTTTTTATATTTTATGAAATATATTAGTTATTTTTTTTGGAGAAGAAAACTGTTCATATAAAAGTTACTTCTAATATTATTCTCTATAATTTTTGTTTAATACAAAATTTTCCTAAAATGGTCCGTATTCGAGAAAACTGCTTCTCTATGACTCCGCCGCGCAGCGATCTCTCCGGCAGCTTCTCGAAGGAATGCGCTTGTCTATATATGGCCAGCGCTAGACTTTATATTGCGGGTAAGGTAGTAAACAAAGAACATAGTCGGCTTAGCGCGATACTATTAACCATTGGTCAGTTTAATTTTATTATCTTTTTTGTCATTTAAATTTAAAATCTTCCAAAATTATTAACTGTAAGTATTGGAACTGCTTGAGTCAAGTAAAAGTATATTAATTTTGAATAGTCAATTAACAAAAAAAATAAGAAAATGATGTATTTTAATTTTGACTCATCATGTACAGATTTATATTTAACTGAAAAACATGATGCGTCGGTATAAATGTTGACTAACATTAAAAAACTTTTACCGTAAAAAAATTGGTTTCTTTTGCAGTATACAGGGTGTCCCGCTAAAAAAACAATTTTGATATTTACACTTTCTTGGAGAACCCTGTATAATCAAAATTATTTTAAAAGTGTTGACTTTTTTGATATTATAAATCTCGCTGGAAAAACAGATTTAAAAAATCAAATAGTTTTGGCTCTACACACCGAGGCTTGACCGGTGGCCCACCCTGTATATGTATGTAACAATTTGTTTTAAATATTATCTTGTCAGTTATTTTAAGTATTATCTTGTCAGATATTTTAAAAATCATCTTATGAGATATTTTAAATATTATCTTGTCAGATATTTTAAATATTAATGTTCAGAAATCAATGGGATTCTACGGCATTCTTTAAAAAAATATCAAAAATTATTTCTAAAATGTTAGCAAGTCGCATTTTTTAAATCATTTGTTTTTTTTTTTATATTTATTTTAGTTTTTTAAATATATTTTTTTTTAGATCGGCAAAAATCAGCAATTTGAACTTGGCAAATGGTACCGAGAACGTTACAAAAGTTTCATCCCAGATAAATATGATCGAAATTTTATAAGAGTATTGTCATCTGATAGTGACAGGTGTCTAATGTCTGCTGCTTCCAATCTTGCCGGGATGTTCCCACCGAAAGGCAATCAAATATGGAATAAAGATATACCTTGGCAGCCAATTCCTATTCATACAACCCCGATGAACCAAGACGCTCTTATTTATTTGGGAAAACCTTGTCCAAAGCACGACAAAATTGTGCAAGAATTAAAAAATCAGGAAGAATATAAACAATTCGTGCAATATCTCCAGCCTACTATTAATTATATAGAAAAGCATATTAAAGAAAAGTGTAATACCATAGAAGAACTAATATTTATTCATGATGCTTTATTTGTAGAATCTTTTTACGGTTTAGAGCTGCCTAGATGGACAGAGACATTTTATCCTAATTATACCATGCCACTACTTGCTCTTTTTTTTAAATTACCGGCATATACACCTCAACTAGCAAGATTAAATGCAGGTATGTATGCAGTATATCCACAGATGGATGATTTAACCAGAGAAATGATAATATTGATTTTACTTAAAAATCGGTTAGTAATCTGTGGATTTAAACCATAGAATAGGAGAGTGTAAATAGATGGGAAACTCAATGGTAAAATTCTGAGGCGATGTGGTGTCACCTATCAAATTGGAGTGATACTAAATTCAATATGGCCGCCTTGAGCGTGCTTTTTGAAATTTAAGTTTCTACTAGCTGGGCAAAAATGTAATCAAGAAAATCGAACAAAAAAGTTAATTGTTTTGTTTTGACTAGTTTCAAATCATAAAACAAATAATTTGGAACTCGTCAAATATTTTACCAGTTTATATTTTTATTTGATTTTACTTCATAGATTTTTGTATTAATTTCAAATTTGAAATAAAATCCTTTTATTTTATTTTTAATTTTTTATTACAGTAAATTAATACATTATATAGAGTGTTTCAAAAAGGTATGTCATAAATTCTTCCTCAGATAGATTACCAAAAAATAAGTGGATTTGATTTACCTATATCAAAAACTGGCTCCCAACAAAGTTACAGGGCGTTAAACTACATTTCAGAAAAACGTTTTTTTTTTTTGAAAAGGTTTGCTGTTTCGATTTTTTCTTCAAAATTTTTGCCGGTGCTGTAGTTTTAAAGAGCTATTTACAATTTTTTTAACTGAATTTCTAGAGCAATTCGTCCATCCTGGACTTAACATATCACCAAACTAAGAGTAGGTCAGGAGTTATTGTACAAAAAACGCATGTAAATATTAGTGGTGTACCTAGGGCTGTCCTTGAGCCGTCCCTGCAAAAACTACCTCTTTTATTTGTATTTTTGTAAAAAAGGTATTTATAATATTGGATTTGCGCCATAAAAATGGTGTGCACCCGTCTTCATAGGTTCACCAAGCTACTGATAAATATACACGTTAGTTTGGAAATCTATTTATTAAATTTAATAGCAATAAAAAAAAATATTTTTTTAATTAAACAATTAAGAATTAAAAATAAACACTTGACAATAATTATTATACCTATTTTATAAACTATTTAATTTAGTAAATGTTCAACATGTCCTCGTCCTTCTTGAATACAAAAATATAAATAAAAGAGGTAGTTTTTGCAGGGACGGCTCAAGGACAGCCCTAGGCACACCACTAATTTTTATGTGCGCTTTTGTATAATAACTCCTGACCAGTGCCGGCTCGTAGTAATTTAAAATGAGTGTTTACTTTTTCCAATAATTTTATCATTTCTTAGTTCGGATCAAAACTTTGTACAAGAGTCAATATAGCTGTTTTTTTATTATTTGAGTTTGTATTAATTGTAGTTATTATTATCAACATCATACTGTTTTCAAGCACAACAACTATTCATAAATGAATATTTCACTTAGTGTAATATTTGTTTTGTTTTTAATACGTTAAAAACCATCTATAAACATTATTAGTTAGTAAACTGACTTTTCTTCATAATTTGAGATTATTTTTAAATATATATCAGGTTATGTAGAAAGCTTGACATTAATTTTTCTGCAAAAATTTTTATATGAAACTTTACCTACCATTTTTTAGTTTTTATTGTAAGTTTAATCATTTTCACAATTTGTCACAGATGTCAAATATAAAATATATTTTTTAAATACCTTTTATTGGCAAATAAAATAAGAACTAAAATGTTTTAAATGTTTACTTTATAAGATCAGTTCCATTACAATACATAATATTACACAGACACAAACTAGAATAAAGATATATAATGCCTGTCCTACCCTTATGGTAGACTTTTGCATGTCCATGTTCACTAATAAATAACAGAATAATAGTATTTTGTCTAAAAAGGTAAATCGGCTTCATCTGTATTTTCAAATTGTTGTTTAATTTTAGATAGTATATTAATGTTTTGATATGAACTTATAGGATTGATTAGCCAGAGCATGTAGATATGTGGGATGTAACTTGTTAAGTGCCTAATCAAAATCACAATTTATTTTTGATACTTATATCGAGAATTTTTTCGAGACATACTTTATTACCAACTGTAAACTAATTTACCAATAGCCTTATTTTTATTTAATACCTGTAGTGATTCAAATTACCATAACATCTAATATTTTTGAAAATAAAACAAGCCAATAAAAAAAATGTCATTAAAATAAAAGATTTCTTGTTTGTATGCAGCAAACGATCTTGGTTAGAGGGTAACACGATTGATAATTACAGGCAAACCTAACTTTATATAGGTAAACTATTTAAATGTACATACCATTTCTTAGGTAAAATTTCTCATCAAGTATATTAAATTAACTGGTTGATCCATTTTTCCGATTCAGACTTTTAAAGTGAAAAACCATTTGTCTCTTTATCTTTATCAAATTTTTATTCTACATTTCCATTTTCATAATAATGTCAAGTAGTTACCTCATCAGATAAATAAAATTTTTCCTTTTAGCGGGTTTTGTGGGAAAAAAAATTACAAATTTTTTGCTTACTTCTTATTTCATATTATTTACAATTGGGTACAAAATAGACCATTTTGAAATAGTTTTTGGATGGTCTTAGACACTGAAACAAAATATAAAACAAATTACAGTCGTAAAACTTTATTATAGGTAAACAACATAACTTTAAAAAGTTTTTATTTACCTTGCCTTAAAGAAGTTTTTCAAGAACAATCGTTAAATTGACATACATCCTTCCAATTTATTAAAGTTGCAGTTCTCAATTAAAATTAAATGTAATTAAACTGCCACCTTAATGATAAAAGATTTTGAGGTTTTACAAATTTGTTCCATTGGTATAACAAAAGGAAAACGAAATTTGGGCCAGAGGATAAATCAGTGCTTTTTTATGTCAGTTTTATTTTTCAATGACGCGTACACTTTTTGTGTAGAACAGTGCTAAAATAGTGTTCTACACTTTATTACCGATAGAAAAAAATTAAAAGTAGGCTGTTATTAATGAAAAAGTGTTACCGTGGAATCAACAAATTCCAAGCGTCGGACTAAGAAATCGTACCACTAAATTTGTAGGACTATATGGTCATTTCATTACACAAATATATACAGAGCTGCATACAAAAAATCAGCCAGTTATTAACAATTTATATGACCGCGGTATTTCGACATATTCGTAGTGGAGGACGCTCCAAATCGACATGTTTTACAACTGCGCACTTCATTAGCTTACTTGTATTGAAAATTTTTACTAAGGAAAAACTTGGGCGACTCGTCGAACAGAACCTACTCACGAAGATTCAGCCTGTTATTAATCACTGAAAAAACAGGCGGTGGCAACAGGACTAGAACCAATTGCCTTCCTCTATTGTCTTTTCTAACCTGTTTTTAATTAGCATTTCTAGAAGCTTTCCGAAAACATTTATTAGACAAATCTGTCTGAAGTCCGATGCCTTCTCCGACCCTTTACCCTTGTTTAGTAGGACGACTTTTGCCTCCTTCCATAGCCGAGGAAATTCTTGTTTTCTTAGGAGGTTATTACATATTTCTAGAAGTTGATCTTTGTGGGTCTCACCTACGATCTTTACAGCTTCTGGTGGGATTTTGTCTGGGCCTGGTGCCTTGTCAATTTTTATGCTACCAAGTGCTATCTCAAATTCTTCTTTGAATAGAGGGGGAACATTTATTTCATGTCTCTTTATATGCGTGTATTTTCTCCTAGGTGAATCTTCCAATGCCTTGGCTTTTATTAAATTGTGTGGGCAGATTTTTTTTGAGGTACCTGGTAGCTATTTTATATCCAGATCCCAGACATCTTCATTTAGCTCCTTGCACAGCGTCTTCTATTTTTCTCTCTCTTTTTTTGTTTATGTGTCTGACCAGCTTCTTTTTCTGGGTTTTATATCGATCTTCTGGCTATTGTACCTCCAGGTCCATGTGCCGTCTTCCTTGGATTTTTACAACTTTTCGTCCGGCAGCATGACATTGTGCCCTAAATTATTGGATCTCCACCGTCCACCAATAGGGTATTCTTGATTCCTTTACTTCAAGAGTACCTACAGTTTTTTACAATCCGGCCAAATGTTTTCGGTGATGCGCCAAATAAAAACAAATAAAAAACAAATAAATACAAATAAATACAAATAAATACAAATAAATACAAATAAATACAAATAAATACAAATAAATACAAATAAATACAAATAAATACAAATAAATACAAATAAATACAAATAAATACAAATAAATACAAATAAATACAAATAAATACAAATAAATACAAATAAATACAAATAAATACAAATAAATACAAATAAATACAAATAAATACAAATAAATACAAATAAATACAAATAAATACAAATAAATACAAATAAATACAAATAAATACAAATAAATACAAATAAATACAAATAAATACAAATAAATACAAATAAATACAAATAAATACAAATAAATACAAATAAATACAAATAAATACAAATAAATACAAATAAATACAAATAAATACAAATAAATACAAATAAATACAAATAAATACAAATAAATACAAATAAATACAAATAAATACAAATGAAATACAAATAAATACAAATAAATACAAATAAATACAAATAAATACAAATAAATACAAATAAATACAAATAAATACAAATAAATACAAATAAATACAAATAAATACAAATAAATACAAATAATACAAATAAATACAAATAAATACAAATAAATACAAATAAATACAAATAAATACAAATAAATACAAATAAATACAAATAAATACAAATAAATACAAATAAATACAAATAAATACAAATAAATACAAATAAATACAAATAAATACAAATAAAATACAAATAAATACAAATAAATACAAATAAATACAAATAAATACAAATAAATACAAATAAATACAAATAAATACAAATAAATACAAATAAATACAAATAAATACAAATAAATACAAATAAATACAAATAAATACAAATAAATACAAATAAATACAAATAAATACAAATAAATACAAATAAATACAAATAAATACAAATAAATACAAATAAATACAAATAAATACAAATAAATACAAATAAATACAAATAAATACAAATAAATACAAATAAATACAAATAAATACAAATAAATACAAATAAATACAAATAAATACAAATAAATACAAATAAACACAAATAAATACAAATAAATACAAATAAATACAAATAAATACAAATAAATACAAATAAATACAAATAAATACAAATAAATACAAATAAATACAAATAAATACAAATAATACAAATAATACAAATAAATACAAATAAATACAAATAAATACAAATAAATACAAATAAATACAAATAAACACAAATAAACACAAATAAATACAAATAAATACAAATAAATACAAATAAATACAAATAAATACAAATAAATACAAATAAATACAAATAAATACAAATAAATACAAATAAATACAAATAAATACAAATAAATACAAATAAATACAAATAAATACAAATAAATACCAATAAATACAAATAAATACAAATAAATACAAATAAATACAAATAAATACAAATAAATACAAATAAATACAAATAAATACAAATAAATACAAATAAATACAAATAATTACAAATAAATACAAATAAATACAAATAAATACAAATAAATACAAATAAATACAAATAAATACAAATAAATACAAATAAATACAAATAAATACAAATAAATACAAATAAATACAAATAAATACAAATAAATACAAATAAATACAAATAAATACAAATAAATACAAATAAATACAAATAAATACAAATAAATACAAATAAATACAAATAAATACAAATAAATACAAATAAATACAAATAAATACAAATAAATACAAATAAATACAAATAAATACAAATAAATACAAATAAATACAAATAAATACAAATAAATACAAATAAATACAAATAAATACAAATAAATACAAATAAATACAAATAAATACAAATAAATACAAATAAATACAAATAAATACAAATAAATACAAATAAATACAAATAAATATAAATAAATACAAATAAATACAAATAAATACAAATAAATACAAATAAATACAAATAAATACAAATAAATACAAATAAATACAAATAAATACAAATAAATACAAATAAATACAAATAAATACAAATAAATACAAATAAATACAAATAAATACAAATAAATACAAATAAATACAAATAAATACAAATAAATACAAATAAATACAAATAAATACAAATAAATACAAATAAATACAAAAAAATACAAATAAATACAAATAAATACAAATAAATACAAATAAATACAAATAAATACAAATAAATACAAATAAATACAAATAAATACAAATAAATACAAATAAATACAAATAAATACAAATAAATACAAATAAATACAAATAAATACAAATAAATACAAATAAATACAAATAAATACAAATAAATACAAATAAATACAAATAAATACAAATAAATACAAATAAATACAAATAAATACAAATAAATACAAATAAATACAAATAAATACAAATAAATACAAATAAATACAAATAAATACAAATAAATACAAATAAATACAAATAAATACAAATAAATACAAATAAATACAAATAAATACAAATAAATACAAATAAATACAAATAAATACAAATAAATACAAATAAATACAAATAAATACAAATAAATACAAATAAATACAAATAAATACAAATAAATACAAATAAATACAAATAAATACAAATAAATACAAATAAATACAAATAAATACAAATAAATACAAATAATACAAATAAATACAAATAAATACAAATAAATACAAATAAATACAAATAAATACAAATAAATACAAATAAATACAAATAAATACAAATAACCATAGATAAAATAACAAGTAATGCCAATAAATGTCTGTCTGCTTTGCCAAATCCGCGGCAAGCGGTGTGCGTGTGCGTGTTTGTGTGCGTGTTTGTGTGTGTGTGCGCGTATATCCACGATAACTCATGAACGGATTCAAAGAAAAACACCAAATTTTAAACTTAAGCTTTATTTCGGCCTGTGGTGAAATGATTGGATTTTGGGCAGAGTCGGAACATCTGGGGGATACTTTATAGGGTGTCACTTTTGTTTTATAAAATATATCTGTTATTTACGTTTGGAGAAAAAAATTCTTTAAATAAAAGTTACTTTTTATATTATTCTCTATCATTTTTGTTTTATACAAAATTTTTCTAAAATGGTCCGTATTCGAGAAATTTTTCAAAATGTAAAATTCTGATTTATATAAAAATTGTTGAACTAAAAGAAATTTGCGATATCGATGTCTATAATTTTTGTTTTTTACATGGTTTCTCTAAAATGGACCGTAATAGAAAAATTGTAGGAAAAGTATAAAATTTTAATTTTTCAGCATTTTCGTTGGCCGTGAGTGTATATAGAAAAAATATTTCGAGTTAGATGTATCTGGAAAATTTATATATTAAGTTAACCTCTAAATATTTACAGAGGTGCTACAATAGGTTGTACAAAATAACCGAGAAAAGCCTGTAATAACTAAGTCATGTGTTGGACACATCAGATTTTTTAATCTATTAAAGATCCTGTGGTTGACCGATTCTGTGTTTTTCTCATTTACTTAATATTTTTAAAACCTTTAAACAGTACGTTGGAATATATTTACTAATTTTTTTCAGGCCCACTAATTGACTACATTACGACATTTTTTGAAGAAGTATTGGAAAAACCAAATAACTCTCAAAAGTTTCTGATGTTATCAGGACACGACAACACCATAGCCAATCTTTTAACATCCTTGGGATTATACGATAACACTTGGCCAGAATATGCTTCTTCTTTAAACATTGAATTTAAATCAAGAGAAAATCAGCCTTTTATAAATATGTATTTTAAAAATAGTACAGGCATTCATAAGTTAACTTTAAATAATTGTTCATTCAACTGCAGTTTTGGTAGATTTAAGAAACTAACCGAACATTTGAGAATAAATCCCGATCTTTGGGATAAAGAATGTACTAATGTATAGTGTTTGTGTAATGTTTTTATTAATAATGAAATTTTAAGTATTTTACAAATGAATATAAATATAATATTTGGGATTAGATAAGCGTTTTTTTTTTAAGTTCCTTGAAACACTATTGCCAAATGTACAATCAAAAATAAGGTCGTATTAAGCAAGGTGACAAACAAATGTAGCACATTACAGAGAAATATATGAAATAATTAATAATTACATTAGCCATAAATTAGGAATAAGTGAGAAATCAACGATAAATTAGCAATAAATTATTAGCAATACATTAGCTTCAAATAAGATGAGAGAGAGCATACCCTATACCTACTTGGAAGTGGAGTATTTTGATATTCAAGCAAATAGTATGAAACTTCATCTTTGTGTTTCATTTTTTTGGGCCTAGTTTTAGAGATATCAACATACTTCTCTGCAAAGCCATTAGATTAATGAAGATGAGGGCTAGAAAACTCCACATCAAAATTCCAACGTTTAGCAAAATTTTTAAATTCTACACTATTAAATAGTACATTATCAGAGTAGAAAGTGTCAGTGACACCAAATATAGGAAACAAGTTTTTACAATGATTAATTACAGTTTATGCTGACTTGTCTTTGGTAGGGAAAACTTGAACCAATGAGAAAAACAGCAATTAATAAGTAGCTTTTAGACTGAAACTCAAAGAAGTCTGAAAATAATATTTGTCAGGGCCTTCCTGGTGTTTTATGAGCTACAAGAGTCTCTTTTTGGTTAACTGGCTTGTTAACAAATTTCACAATTGCTTATAAGGTTTTCAATTTCTTTTGACATTTTTGGCCATATCATGATTTCGCGTGCTCGCAATTTACATTTTTGCATACCAAAATGAGCTGAATTAATTAATTTAAGCATATCATTCCTAAGTTTAGAAGGAAAAAAATTTTTATTAAAGAAAATCAAATTGTCAGAAATATTAATGTTTTCTTTTAAATTATAATAATATTTTAATTCCGGGGTTAATTTTTTATCAGAATTAATTAATGCAAAAATATAATGAAATAAAATCAAAAATATAAATTGGCAATTTATTTGAAATTAGTCAAAATACTCGTTAACCAATTAATTTTTTTGTTTGATATTCTTCATTAAATTTTTGTCCAGCTAGCAGAAAATTAAATTTCATAAAGCCCGCCCCTAGCAGCCATATTGAATTTAGTACTACTCCAATTTGATGGATGGCAGCACATTGCTTCCGAATTTTACCATTGCGTTTCCCATTTATTCACACGACCCTAATCTATTAGCATGCCTAACTTACGAATGCGGTCATTTGCAATCAATACTTTGCACTGAATCATTTTTAGTTAAATAAAAAAAATCCATGTAAATGATAAAACAATGCATTATATCATCATCGGAGATAAATTTTCACAAGCATTTACGACGGTATTGGCAAGTATATGGTGATTGAGCAAACATGTTAAAATTTTGGTCGTTTAATGAGAACAATTAATGTTAATTAACTGCAATTAAATAATTTGCCGGAGTCGTAAGTGGCTGCCAATTCAGCTCCAGATCTTCCCAGACAGCACACATAGTCCAATGGATGTCCACTTTAGATCCATTTAAGGGTCAGAACGTCATTATCCGTATTTAGACATCCAGTGTAGGTCTGTTTATGATCATTAATTTGACAGCTGCAATACGATACCAAGAGGACGACTGTTTTTGAACTTAATTTTAAGTTTAGTCACATACTTTGATTTTCCCTTACTATACGGATAATGGTCGCACTGCGCAGCTTTCTGAGTGCCTTTAAAAAGGAGATAGAAAACATGGCTGGTCTACCAGCCCTGATAGAAAACTCCGCCATTTTTATGCCTTATTACGTGTTGCCTACATCTTGGCGCAATATTTTTAATATTTTGCTTGCTATTAGGCATTCCAAACTGAATGGCTACCAGTGAGTTTTGACATATGGCAAAATTATGACAACCCTGTAGGCCTGGTGATTTGACAAGGTCAATGAAATAGATAGTTACATAGATTGATCATCCATATTTTTCAAAATAAACATAAGCTTATGCCTTCAAGTAAAAATGTAAGTAAATATTTTTTTTAAATATCCAAAGGCCGAAAATTGGTTTTAAAGCACATTTTTGCTAAACCAATTCAAATTAATAAATATTTGCCAGGCAATATGGCCGCTCGCAAACGACCAGCTTTGAGCAATCTATATAACTATATATGTATCATTGACCCTGTTAATGACAACACGACAACAGGGTTGCCATATCTGAACTGTCAGTACCCACTGGTAGCCATTTGGACAGGTCGTTGGAATGCCTAATTGTCAGTGTCAGTGAATATTATTTTTGGAGTCACAGTTTATTGCTAAAGAATCAGTTAGCTCATTCGGACCAGTTGAAAGTTCCAAAATAACATACACTCCAGGGATACAAATTCAGGATGTGCAGGCGGTTGTCATATATTGTATTATCCGAGTTGCGCAGTGTATAAACTGGAACATTGAGATCAAAAGTGCTGACGCAGAGTGAGCGAACTGATTCTTTAGCTATAAACTGTGGTAAAGGTATCAAAATGGCCGCGCCCTATGTTGGGCATATCGGACCTCTCTCTTGAAACGTATAGTAATTAAAGAATGTGAGTTTAGAAGTATTTTAACGTTTAGTGGACATCCAGAGTCATTATTTATTTAGCCTACTAGATAATACTCATCTATATACACTTTCTTTTTTTTTAATTTAATCGGTCATTAAAAATTGACAAATTGAATCTATTTCATTCTATCAGCGGAAATTTGAGGACTTGTTCCATTATAACCATTTCTAGTAAACAATTTTCAAGTGGCTCCTTGGTCGAGATCGTCTAGTGGTTGAAAGCATAGAACGATAATGGACGAGTCGTGTGTTCGATGCCTGCTCAGGTCAAGTGATTTTTAATAAAAAAAATAAATTATGTATAGCGAGTTGCAAAAATTGTAAATAAATAAATAATAATATAAAATAGTGTGTGGTGAGTTGCGGTTGTGTGAAAAAAATGGGGATGAGGATGTGGTCTCAATGGCATATAACCCAGGAATGGGCGTTTTTTAAATGTCCGGTATTTAACGTCCAAATATAATCCAGAATTAGACGTCCGCTGAATGATCAAAAGTGTGCCATTTGTATACGTCACTGGACGTCTATTGAAAGTCGGAAGTCCAGAAAAACGCATTTTTGGACGTCCAGACATCCAAAATTGTATATCGAATGGACGTCCAATGGACCTATTTGTGCTGTCTGGGTTGAAATTAAAATTTGCAGCTATGTTATGTTACATTGGGAATGGGGTGTTAATACACTGCGACCTAAAAGATCTATTGTGTCCCCTTCTGTCGCCAATGCACTAAGAAAATGTATTAGTGCCTATAAAGACCTTTCCAATCCTATTTTCTCAAGGAAGTTTAGGATTTGAAGTGACTTCAAGTTAGGTAAATCTCCCTCTTCTATTTGATATCCTCCTAGATATAGTGCCTTTGGATTCTGGAGTGCTGCCACACATTCTCTTGTCTATGATAGTTTCTCTCGCAGCTATGTTACATTTTTGATCATCTAGCAATCCATTAATTTAGGTTTTTCCATTTTAACAATGTTGTCAACCCTGTATCGAGTTGCAAAATTGGCTACTTTCGATTCATTCGGCACTTTATCTTACCACGAAGTTTAAACAAATTTTAGAATTTATGTTGAATTTTTCCGTTTGTACGTCTTTAGTTACTGGCCTAAAAAGTGTGTGTAAAAGACACTTTATTATTATAAAAAATACACATATACGGGATGAGTCAAAAAATTTGTTCAGTGATTGTCGCTATTTTACAATATACAAGTATATCGTAATGAGTTATAAACAAGTAGAACATCACAATAACAAAAATATGTACTTACATACAGAGAGAGTTAAAAGTGATATATAGAGAAAGTAAAAGTTGAAAAGTCTTTTGGTAGGTAGAGAGGGGGTAAACGTCAAACCACGTCGGGCGGCTCCGAGAATTTCGCAGTATTGTTTACCTGCCAGTGTCGTTTCATAGAATAAGTAATTTTAAATTGTTATCGGCGGAACCAGACAATCGCATGTATTTATGGATTATACATAATTATTAAACATGTATTATAATATTTAAATCATAATTTTACAAAATTTCAACAGCTATTCACAATTTATTAAACTATTAACTCGAAATTGTTATTAACATCTATAAAATAATTTTGTACGCCAATGTATCGCGTCCACTTCGGTGAGATCCGCTGCCAACCTGTCAATTTATGTATATAAAGTGGGAGAACTGGCAAAAGCATTTCCAACTTTTACTTCTGTTCTAAATATCGTGCGACCATTTTCAACCAGTCCATCTCTGACCTTTGTTTACCTTCTCGTCGTTCAAGCCGTCCGCATAATTATGTTCCGCTGCCGCTGGCCGCGAGACCTAAAAGTTTCGGGAAGGCTATTTTGCGGGCGTAGGAAGGGTATCGAGAAACGTCTGGAGCATCGGGATTCTTTGAGACAGGACTGAATTTTTCTAAGATCTAACATTTGTGTGAATAAATGGATTCTTTTGTCTTTACTTAAGTATGACAAAACTTGTATAGCACTTCTTACAGAGGTTACAAAGTGAACTTCGGAAAACATCACACTAGCACTTTTACGGTACTTATAATGAAATTTGCTCTGAAACGTTTTATAGATGTTATAATGTGAATTAGTTCTATATAATTATACAGTGTATCCACGGATGGACTTAACTATACTTGTGAAAATATTTATTTTAAATTAAAAAAAGTAATTCTTCATAATTTCTTTTGCTTGTTAAATAAATACAAGTCACATTGAGAAATTATGAAAAAAAATTTTTGTTTATTTTAAATTAAATATTTTTACAAGTACAATTAAGTCCACCATGGTGATACTGTATTGTTCTTCGTGTAATGTAATCCAAAGAGGCTGAAATTAAGGTTATAGTAAAATCTCAATCGAGATATGAAAATTTCAAATAAAACAAAATATTTATATAAATTTATTATTGAAATGTTCTTGAAATCAAATACCATTATCA